GATGAACAAATGGATGTAAACGGATGAACAAACAGATGTAAAACGGATGAACAAATGGATGTAAATGGATGAACAAACGGATATAAAACGGATGTAAACGGATATGAAAACGGAGGTAAAAAGCGAAGTCTTGATCGGTTTAGCTCCGATTTTGAAAAAAAAAAAAGCAACTGAACTGATGAAAAAAAACAGAATGCCCGTGTGAAAGGACCCTATTGGTCACTTCTGTCATGACAGCTTTTCCCTGCCTGTTTGTGTACATTGAGCCATGCATGCGCAGCTCAGCATACGTTTTTGGTGCACCTCTGTGCCATGTCAATGTGACTTCCATAATGAAGAGAGGATGGCAGCTCCTGTGACAGCACAGAGCTGGAGAAGATCAGTAGCCAGCTCCATCTGTCATGTTGTGGTAGCATGCTGTACATACCAGCACATTGTGGCTAAAAGCTCAGGGGGCCCTGGTTTTCGTTTATTCTATTTTTTATTTTTTTGGGGGGGGGGTTAGTTCCGCTTTAAAATAGCAGGCTGGGCAAGTTAACAAAATTATCTTATAGCTCCACTTCTACTTTTCAAAAACTGACTGATATGTGTACATGCAGAAAACCGCTCCCAGGAGCCCGGCAATCAATGTACATACATAATTAGAGCTGAGGCCTAAGGGCTTCTTTACGCGAAGGAATATTTTCTCAGCATGTAGAATCATGTTAAAGGCTGAAGGAAACAGGCCTTTTTTCCATTTCTAATCTTTAATTGCATCTAAAATTGGATCTACATTCTATCACTAAGCAAACTTTAAGTCTCTATTCACACTTTTGCGACTTTCCATGCAACTTTGGACAAATAAAGTCACATGACAAGTTGCAGCCCATTGTTTTCAATGGCAGCCGTTTGGATCTATGCAACTTAAAGTCGTAGAGACTTTTAAAGGGTTCCTGCACTACTTTGATGCGTCTTGTGTGCCAGAGATAAAGTTGCATTAAATCGCATTAAAAGTCACACTTCAAAGTTGCACTGAAAATCGCGGAGTTGCACAGGTGTGAACAGAGCCCAACATGCACTCGCCCCACCCATATGGAAGAAAAATACATTTGAAATATATTTTAAAAATATTCTTCCCAAATATGTTGCCATATATTTGAAATGCTACAATTTTGGACAAATTCAATATATTTCAATAAATAAATAAATAAATAAATATATATACATACTGCATGTTGAAATACGTTTTTATTACAAAATATATGAAAACTATTTTAAAAAATAAATTTCAAATATACTGTATGTCTTTAAAAATACAAATCTACATTTTTGGAATGTATTTATAAATATATGTAAAATATATATGTTAAAATGACTTTTTTATATGTTAAAAAAAATCTGAAGAAGTCCTTAGGGCTTTAGGGGGGCCGAACTGTGGCCAGTGTGAGTAGAAAATGTCCCAGCATCAGTGGGAGTAAACACTGCTCCACCATTGGTTTTAACAGGAGGAATAGTACCCTGTTGTTGGCTTTAGCAGGAGGAATAGTGAACCATGGTTGGTATCAATTGGAGGCATAGTGCCCCATCGATGGTGTCCACGCGAGAAATAGTGCCCTATCATTGGTCTTAGCAGGAAGAATAGTGCCCCAACGATGGTGTCCACGCGAGAAATAGTGCCCTATCATTGGTCTTAGCAGGAAGAATAGTGCCCCATCGATGGTATCAGTGGGAAGAAGAGTGTCTCATTAATGGTGAAAGTGGGAAGAATGGTGCCTCATCATTGGTGTCAGTTGGAACAATAGTGTCCCAAGGGCCGGATAGAGGCAAGCAAAGGGCCGCATTTGGCTCCTGGGCCGAAGTTTGGAGACCACTGTTCTAGAGCAACCTTTCTCTATGTTTTTATCACAGAGGAACATGTAAAATAAATTTTCCTGTCTCAGGGAACCCATGATAATATTTACTTTATCTACAGCTCATGTTACATTAGCATGATGGTCACCAGGAAGAATGCTCCTTACATTTGTGGTTATTGAGAAGAATCTCTCCATACAGACAGATAAAAAACATCATAGTTGTCAATGGTTACTTATCTCAGAGGCAGACATTTCTCAAGGATCCCCTAGCAACCACTGGAGGAACCCTAGGGTTCCACCGAACCCTGGTTGAGAAAGGCTGCTCTAGATTTTGCTATGGGTTCCTTGAAGTCTAGCTAACTCGCCTCCCATTTGATGGTGCCTGCATAGTTCCAGGCCCAATGCCACTTGCCATAACCAGCAGCATGACACCAATGATATTTTTAGCTGTCTGTAAGGGGGTCATTCTATCCACTAACTATCAATGCAGGGTTAATTTTTTCCCCACTGACTCCCAATGAGTTGGTTTTGGCAAACGTTGCTCAAGACTTGAAAATAATTTCAAGGGTTCAGCAAAAAGTTGAAAGGCTGGTATAAACAGTCCACAAATGTAAAAAAAAAAAAAAAAAAAAACGCCTAAAAAATACAATATGAGTCCCTCATAACTTCAGGAAATTGATACTAGTTGCAGCAAAAACCCTTGTATGGGGAATGATGCTCCCCCTCTGACAAAATATGACCATAATGAGGAGTATCACCTCACCCTTCATTTAGGGAACATTCTAAGGGGTCCTGAAAGATTGCATCTTTAAAGCAGAACTCTGGGCAAAAACTGTCCTTGTTGCTGATTTCCTACTTCACTGAATATGTCATCCTTCTTCTGGTTCACTCAGTAGTTACTCTGAATTAGCCTATTCATTTCCATATCAATCCGTTCATTTTCTATGGTTTCCTGTTTTTAAGAGAAGACCGGTGGCTCCTATGGCTCCTATTCCCCCAGCCACTGGATGTGGCACATCCTTTCTGTAGTTCTCTCTCCAGGAAGCAGTGATGTAATTCAGTCCCACTTGCAGTGGTAGGCGGACCGAGACTCTCAAGCACATTCAACATGTACAAGCCTGGTGTGCCCGCCTACATTCACTACAATTCCCTGTGGTTGATGGGAACTATAGTTTACTACAGAGAGAGCAGAAGATTTGATGTAATCCCTGCTGTTACACCTCCTCCATGGCAGAGCAGATGCTCTCATCTTTTGAATTACAGAGATGAGGTCATGAAAATTCAATTAAACTTTTTTCCTAAATGGTAAGGATTTTCCAAATTTTAGTGTTTTGTGTGGGGAGTGTACTAATGGTTGATTTGTTTTGCCTATCCCAGGGTTCTTGTTTAATAACTTGAGTTAGTCAATTAAATGTATCACTTAAACCAGCCTTTTTCAACCAAGGAACCCAGGTACCCTGGGGTGTCTTCAGATTTCTTCAGGTGTGCCTTGGCAAAATGCCCTAAAATTGCATACAAGCCAACAGATGGATGAAGCTTGCCTTTTAGTTACACAAAGCCACAAATTTTTATTGCGCACTATTACAAACGTCTAGCCACCGATGCCCTAGCAACCAATGATGGACCAAAGGAAGACATCAGGCGCCTACACAGCATCCTTTTTTGCTTTTCCCCTGCCCCCCTCTATCACGGCTGGGGTCACATTAGCTGAGCGAGAGAGAGAAACTGAGGGAGAGGAGAAACATTGGAATACTAGTAAGTACCACTGTGCAAAGATGTATTTGTTTTGGAAGACTAAATCGTTTCTGACATTGGGTGACCTATGTGTTTGGATGCTGCTGCTGCGATATGTAATACTATTAGTTTAGTTTTTTTTTTTCCATTTTAGAATGGGATGCCTCAAGATTGTGCAGAATTTTAAAGGGTGCCTTGACTAAAAAAAGGTTAAAAAACACCGACTTAACTAGAAATATTCTGCAAACCTAAAAAAAATCCCAACAGAATATTTTGGCTATAGTTTTGGGGAACATGTAGCTTTAGGCCCTTTGCTCTCCCCCTCCCTCTGGTTCTTACAAACTCCTTCCAACCTCATTTTATGCCTTCAAGTGATCACATCAAGCTGCACCCTACCTGAGGAATCTATTAGCAAACATATCAGGCACTCCCATGAAACATATCCGCACAGCCAGTCCCACCCAAAATAAGCATTGTAAACTGGCTAGATTTATCTCCAGGGTTGGGACTGTCCACTTTATAGGACCTCATTAGACCTGGTATTTATGGCTTTACTTCTCCCCTTCCCATGGAGACAGATGGTGCTAATCAGCCTAATTACCTATCAATTTATCTACAGCTACTAGTTGCCATTATAATCCCAGCACAATAGATAAAATCTATCAAAGGAACAGCCATTAGATGCCACTACAGAACTAGACACAAGAGTCCCATAGTAGATCTAAACCCTCAGTTGATGACATTTAAGCTGGCCATATCCTAGTAGATTGTTAAACAAACATTTGTACAAACACCAAGAAAAATCTCAGAACGTGATGACTCTATGAATGTCGTTCAAAACTACAACATTTAGTTTGCGTTTAACGTTCAACTTTGGAACAAATGGACTTTACCAAACCAAAGCCACATACACTCATCATTCATTTCGAGAAAATTTTTTAACCCCTTTGCGCTAGTGCCTCCTGGCCCTTTAAGAGTTTCAGAAGCCGGGGGGGTGGGCGGGGTTTTAGGGTCATGTGACGGCCGTGATTTGCTGTCACGGTGGTCACATGATCGGAAAAGGTCCCGATCACAAAGGGAGATTGGGACCTTTCCGTGAGTCACGGACATATGTGCTGGGAGCGCGCGGGGCGCGCACTTTGAGCACATATGTATTTTCTAATGGCACGCAAATATGCAGCCACTCGGCCTCAAGGCCCAGACGCCAAGAGGCCGCATATTTGCGTGCACTCGGCGTCTAGGGGCTAATCCTGCAACTTTTATATTTTTCTCGTCATTACTGTTGAAAATGAAATTCCAATTTGACCCCACTAACAATTAGAAAATTAAATAAGTGTTCTAAAAAGGAAAAAGAAAGTTTGGACAATATTGTATTAGTGTATGGGCCTCTTTAATTATGACAACCGAAGGGGATTGTACATATGCTGCTGCAATCAGGGACGGACTGACCATTTGGAAACTCGGGCCCTGCCCGAGGGCCAGGGGTCAGTAGGGGGCCCAATGAGATGCCCCTGGTACCTTTTTAATAGGCTTTTTTGAGTTTGGGCAAGGACACAAGGGCCCCATGATCCCCTATTGCCTGGGGGCCGAATGAGTTGTCAGTCCGCCCCTGGCTGCAACCATGATGTTTTGATAGTAACACCAATGGATTGCCTGTGCAGTATGTGTCAGAATTGCTGCTTTTATTGTCCACCAGAAGCTCATATGACAAGGTGACAACACAGGTGCCCCACTGAGAGACAGTTGTCACCCTACTACAGGGACACTATTAAGAGATAGGAGAGATAATGCTCCAATTCACACAGCTGGTGTTCTAAAAATGGTGGGTTGATGAGCATACAGACTAGGGTTGCCATCAGGGGCAGACTGACAACTCATGGGGACCTTGGACAATAGGGGATCATGGGGCCCCTGTGTCCTTGCCCAAACTCAAAAAAGCCTATAAAAAAAAAAAAAAAAAAAAAAAAAAAAAAAAAAAGGTACCAGGGGCATCTCATGGGGCCCCCTACTGACCCCAGGCCCTTGGGCAGTGCCCGAGTTTCCAAGTGGTCAGTCCGCCCCTGGTTGCCACCTCATCCCTTTAAACCTGAACACATTAATTACACCAGTTCTAAGCCTAATTTAATGTAGATAAGACACTAAGTGAGTTTAATTACCACCTTAATCAGCCAGAAAACCTGTGTCATTAATGTGTGTTCGGGTTTAAAGGAATGAAGTGGCAAACCTAATGCAGATGAAGTCTCACACCTTCCCTGGCTGCCCCAGTTGCTGGAACTCAATATCATAGAGCCACTATGGTCAAGTTTGGACAACAAGGTTCAGGCTCGTTTTCTGTCTCTGGAATCTCTGCCAGAACTGGAATGATTTGTGCATGAAGACTGGTATCAGATTCCATTATCCACCATCCAAGACTTATGTTTGTCATTTCTCAGGAGAATTCAGACCATCTTAGATGCCAAAGGCTGTCCAACACCATATTAGGTACCGATTTAGTTCTTTTACCTGGAGTTTCCATAATTTTGTCCACCCCTGTACGTTACATACAGAAACAGCTAGCTAGTTCCTTTGGGAGAAGATGACTGAACGGACACATGTTGGAAAATCTCTGTCTGTAATTACTAAGCTTGTAACTGCTCATTATTGCTCAGGAAGTGATCTCTATACTGTAGAAAGGCTTACACATATAGACCGACATAAGAGTTTGGAGCCTCTTACATAAGATGATTAGCTGTAACATTGCACTAATTCAGAGGTTTCTAAACAAAGGGCCAGATTGCGATTCTTCAGACTTTATGGGGGCCAGACTGTGGCCAGTTGGAGAAGAAAATGTCCAGGCGTCAGCCAGATTAAATATTGCCTCAGCTTGGTTGTCAGTGGAAGGAAGAAAATGACATAACGCCTGTGGTCAGCAGGAGGAGGAATAGTGCCCCATCACTGGTATTAGTGAAAAAGGAATAGTGCCATTTGTTGGTGTCAGTAGTGAAAAAGGAATAGTGTGCCCCATCATTGGTATCAGTGGGAGGAATAGTTCCCCATCATTGGTATCAGTGGGAGGAATAGTTCCCCATCATTGGTATCAGTATCATGGTAGGAATAGTGCCCCATCATTGGTGTCAGTGGGAAGAATGGTGCCTCATTATAGGTGTCAGTGTGATTAATAGTGCCTCATCATTGGTATCAGTGGGAGGAATAGTATCATATCAATGATGTCAGTGGGGGAATAAGTGCCTCATCAATGGTGTCAGTGGGAGGAATAGTGTCCCATCAATGGTGTCAGTGGGAGGGATGGTGTCAGTGTGAGGGATAGTGCCCCATCATTGGTGTCAGTGGGAGAGATAGTGTCCCATCATTGGTGTCAGTGGGAGGAATAGTATCCTATCAACGATGTCAGTGATGGAATAAGTGCCTCATCAATGGTGTCAGTGGGAGGGATAGTGTCCCATCAATGGTGTCAGTGGGAGGGATAGCGCCCCATCAGTGGTGTCAGTGGGAGGGATAGCGCCCCATCAATGGTGTCAGTGGGAGAGATAGTGCTCCATCATTGGTGTCAGTGGGAGGAATAGTATTCTATCAATGATGTCAGTGGGAGGAATAGTGCCCCATCATTGGTGTCAGTGGGAGGAATAGTGCCCCATCATTGGTGTCAGTGGGAGGAATAGTGCCCCATCATTGGTGTCAGTGGGAGGAATAGTATTCTATCAATGATGTCAGTGGGAGGAATAGTGCCCCATCATTGGTGTCAGTGGGAGGAATATTGCTCCATTGTTGGTATTAGTGGGAGGAATAGTGCCCCATTGTTGATGTCAGTAGCAGGAATTATGCCCCATTGTTGGTGTCAGTGGGAGGAATAGTGTCTTGTATCAGTGGGAGGAAAAGTGCCCCAAGGGCCGGATGTGGCCCTTTGCTTGCCTTTATCCGTCCCTTGGGCCCAGGCTGCAGGTTGGAGACCACCGATCTATGGCTTGTCTAACTTAAGTTAGCCAATAAAGCATACTGTATCACTTGAACTCGAAATGTTCTGGATTATTAATGGCTAACATAGTATATTACAGCTACAATTAAAGTGACACTAATCAATAGCCGTATTCTCCAGAAATCATCCATATACATCCTCTACCTAAAGTGGAACTTTACTCTGTCAGTCAACATGGACTATTTCTAATCCTTATGCTGCTAGCATTAGTAAATAGATAGGAAAGCAGGACCAGACTGGAACAAAAATAGGCCCGGGCATTTTAGACTGAACAGCCAATTTCTGTGGGGGGGGGGGGGTGCAAGGGCATTCACGGGGACAGTTGGTGATGGAATATTCATGGAGTCGGTCCTCTGCACTGTAATATAGAGGGGACTGCACTGTAAAGGGGCCCTTTACAGCAGAGTCCCCTTTATATCACAGTTCCCCTAGAGATCGAATCACAGTGCCCCCTATATGTTCAAAGAGATGGCCCAATCCAGCAAAGAGACATCCTCATCCAGCAAAGAGACGTCCCCATGTAGCAAAGAGACATCCCCATTCCAACAAAGAGACATCGCAATCTCTGCTGGACAGAATGTCTCTTTGCTGGCTAGGGATGTCTCTTTGCTGGACCCAACTGAGCAAAGAGACATCCCCATCCAGCAAAGAGACAACCCGTCCAGCAAAGAGACATCCCAATCCATCGCCACTACAGACCTGGATGGGGATGTCCTATCTTGGACTGGGCTGTCTCTTTGCTGGATTGGGATGTGTCTTTGCTGGACCCAACTGAGCAAAGAGACATCCCAATCCACCGCCGCTACAGACCTGTCATAGTGAGCCCGCCAATGAAGGAGAGAGGCCGCCGTTGTCCCTTCAGTGTGGCTGTGTGCAGCGGCCGGATGAGGAGGTGTCTGTGTGTCCTCGGCGGCTGCTTCCTGCTCTTCACTGGAGCCATCACTGCTGCTCCTCCTGTCACCCCTGCTTTAGGCATAGCCGCACAGTGGGAGGTGAGCGGCGGCCGTGATCTGTGTTAGCCCTGTCCAGGCCGCAGTTGCCACTTACCTCCTGCTGTGTGGCCAGTCATCAACAGGCTCTTCTAAAGCCCGGCGGTCCCAGCCCATCGGGCAAATGCCCTATGGCCAGTCCGGGCCTGTAGGAAAGTATATCATATTTACTTGTTTTAACCCTTTTTTTTTTTTGCATTCCTTCAGTTACTTCCTGGTTTCCATGCCTAGGCAAATGATGTCATACATCCCAGGAGTCATCAGGAGGGGATGGAGGGTTCTCAGCTCAGCCAATGCCTGAGCTAAGGACAGATGGATTCCAGGAAGTAACTGCTACATGAATTATCCGCCCTTATTTAAGATGAGCACTACCAGAAATGCCAGGGGGTGTTTTTTAAAATGATTTCTCCAGCCAAATAAAGCATGGGGACGTGGATGAATGGGGAAGTTTGTTTTGAATATTACAAATGAATTGTGTAGCATTTTTGGTTTGTAGTACTCAGATGCAGTGCAGTTCCACTTTAATGACCCTATAATCTATTTTTCATGAAATTGTTTCTAAGTCCTCATGCACACTGGACCTTTTTACAGCTTTTTTTTTTTTTATTCTTTTGCCATTTTTTTTTCCTACAACCAGTAAACTCCCCAGCATGTTATCCTATGTGTCCATGCACACATAGGCTGTAATCAGCATTATTTTGGCAGGGGCATTTTCTGGCTGGGAAAATCCCCCAAAACTAGTGGGTTTCTAGAGGAATTCATTAGCTCTAAAAACACTAAAACGCGGCAAACCAGCGTTTTTGGATGCTTGATTTTTTTTTGGGGGGGGGTAAAAAAAAAAAACCCTAAAAAAAGGGAGCTAAACACTAATGCAAAAATGCTAAAAGCCGCTGAAAAAACGTGCGTTTTTAACGTGACTTTACATAGCTAACACTACCAGCGTTATTAAAACACCCAGTGTGCATGGAGCCTGACCAGGGGCAGACTGACTATTTGGAAACTCGGGCACTGCCCGAGGGCCCGGGGTCAGTAGGGGGCCCCATGAGATGCCCCTGGTACCTTTTTCATAGGCTTTGTAGAGTTTGGGCAAGGGCCAGGGGCGGACTGACCATTTGGAAATTCAGGCACTGCCTGAGGGCCCGGGGTCAGTAGGGGGCCCCATGAGATGCCCCTGGTACCTTTTTCATAGGCTTTTTTGAGTTTGGGCAAGGGCCAGGGGCGGACTGACCATTTGGAAATTCGGGCACTGCCCGAGGGCCCGGGGTCAATAGGGGGCCCCATGAGATGCACCTGCCCTTGATCTATCCATTAAATGCATGTGCCTCTACTATGGGGACTCACAAATTTTAGAGTTAGGACCACAGATGATCAGGGTGCCGTGTCGTGGCTCTGTGGCTTACGCATGTATTTGCAAATGTGTGCTAACTAAACCCCTGTTATAAACGCATACTGTTAGACAGGTTAATTCGGTTGTTAGCAAGCTGGCTGGCAAGTTGTCCAAGAACATTGTTCTCCCCCCCCTTTTTTTCACTATGTGATGCCTGTTTATGTGTCCTTGCTTCATAAGCCAGTTATAGACTTGGGCGGGTGGCCACTTTTATGCAGGCCCCATGAGATGCCCCTGGTACCTTTTTCATAGGCTTTTTTCAGTTTGGGCAAGGGCCAGGGGCGGACTGACCATTTGGAAATTCGGGCACTGCCCGAGGGCCCGGGGGTCAGTAGGGGGCCCCATGAGATGCCCCTGGTACCTTTTTCATAGGCTTTTTTCAGTTTGGGCAAGGACACAGGGGCCCCATGATCCCCTATTGCCCGGGGGCCCCATGAGTTGTCAGTCCGCCCCTGGCAAGGGCACAGGGGCCCCATGATCCCCTATTGCCCGGGGGCCCCATGAGTTGTCAGTCTGCCCCTGAGCCTAACTGTGTTTTTTCTGCCTCCTTGAAAAGTCCTGTATGAGCTTCCAAACCTCTCCTTTTCACCCCTTACTTCCATTTGTTTGGAACAAGCAGTGCACGTTAGTTGTGGTCATTTACACTGCTCTAGGCACACAATTCCCATAGTCCATAGTCCATCTCGGGAGTGAGATTGTGGCTGTTCCTACATACAGTGGGAATATGGAAATGAACTGAGTCACCCTCTAAAAGGAAGTCAGAACACAGCAGCGAAAACACAAAATAGTTTTTATAGGAGGCACAGAGCAATTGAAGGAACCTTTTTAAATTAAAAATATATACTTAAACATGTATTTAGTGTCACAATATCAAAGTATTCAAAATGTCAGATACTTTTTTTCTTGCAAATGCTCCTCATGAACAAATATGTGTTACAAAGCCAAGAAAAACAAAGATTATAATAATAAAAAACAAATGAATGTAACATTCTGGGGAAAAAAAATGTTTAAACCGGGGCCAAGTCGTAAAACACGTCCCCAGGGATAAGTCCTACAAACCTGAGCCCTGGAAATTGGAGAAGGACAGTTACGTCACCCCTCGACATCACACTAGCGTGTGAAGAAACCGGCGACTTGCCTACGAAAGATTTTTCGTAACCGAACGTCTCCAGGTAAAATCAATCTGTAGAGCTAATTTTTTTTTTTTTTTTCGAAGAAAGTCAATCTTTTGTCCTGTTAAGATACCCGGACGATCGTATACCGCGCACGTGCGGATTTCTTGTACCTGGAAACATGAGCGATCCCATCTGGCACCTTTTTTTTTTTGGCACAGAAAGTCGTTCCTTTTCGTGAAACGATCTTTCAAGCCTCTAGAAAGAACTGTGTCACATCCCTGACTTCTAAGTGAAGATGATACAGTGACTCAGTAGAAGGAAACTGGCACTGGGCACCCAATTCCCGGTACACATTGCCGGTGACGATGGGTGAGGCTTCTGAGTAATGCGACTCACTGCTGACCTTTATACCGGTGAGTTAAACTCTGAACCATGGAAGGTTAACCAACGACGGTTCTCGGCTCAGAAAAGACTTCCACCGAAATAAAAGTGGTCTTACCTCCTCCGGGGCAATGTGGAACGCCTCTGCGATCTTGGCGTACAGTTCTTTGACGTTGGTGAAGCCCTCGATCCTGCCGGTGGGGCTGCCGTGTGCCAGTTGAGTGTGGAAGACCAGCTTGGGGCGCAGGCTGACGGGCGGGGGAGGCAGACCGGGCGCACCGTTGGCATTGGGGAGCTCTTTGGCGGCGCTACTGCCCGCCGACTTGTCCTCCACCTCTTCGCTCTCCACCAACTTCGAGGAGACCTCCTTGGGCTTCCTTCTGATCTTCCCTCTCAGTCCCAGAGGCATGTTTGCGGTGTTGGGATGCAGTGATGGGTTGGAATTAATTAAGCCCCTGGCTCCGGTTCCTTGTCCTCCCCCTCCACCTCCTCCTCCTGGATGGAAGGTGTCTCTTGACTGCTTGTCACTGAGCTGTCTCTTTACATGCAGACAGGTAAGACACTTCCTGTTTCGTTGAGAATAGAGAAACTCCCCTGGAACTCTCCAGCCCTCCCCTGTCCTCCTCCTCCCTATACATCAGTCTACTTCTTCTCTGCAAGGACTGCGCTGTATGCTGGGCCCCCTCCTGGTCCTCTCCCATCTGCCGCATCCTATGTCACCAGCTCTCCCAGTAACTCTTTTGTTGCTGCCAGCTATTCCTGCGTCCATATTATGATTGGAATGAGACGGGATTTATAGAGCGCCAGCGGTGTGCACAAAATACTTTACAAAATAGAGGGAGGCAAAGCAAGAGAGCCCTGCTCCTGAGAGTTTACAATCTAAAAAAAAAAAAAAAAAAAAAAAGAAATTATTTATTTTTATTTATTACAGGTACTTATATAGCGCTGTCAGTTTACACAGAGCTTTACATATATATATATTCACATCAGTCCCTGCTCTTCTGAAGAGCGATCCACATTGGGATCGCTTTTTAAAGGTGGTGAGGAAGTGATGTGAACCTCCTTACCATCTGTTTTAAACCTAATTTATTTAATAAAAAAAATAATTATTTATTGTTGTTTATTTATTTCAGGTACTTATATAGTGCTGTCAATTTACGCAGCACTTTACACATATATATATATATTCACATCAGTCTCTAACCCTCAAGGGCTGTACACATGTAGAATTTTATTTGAATTATTTTGTTTTTTTTTTTTTTTTAGGCCAGGATTTAGACATGCATCTAAACCCACTGCTCCTCTGAAGAGCGATCCACATTGGGATTGCTTTTTAGAGGTGGTGAGGAAATGATGTGAACCTCCTTACCATCTGTTTTAACCTCATTTATTTAAAAAATATATATATATATTTATTGTTGTTTATTTATTTCAGGTACTTATATAACACTGTCAATTTACGCAGCACTTTACATATACATATATTATTATTTATATATATATATATATATATATATATATATATATATTCACATCAGTCCCTAACCCTCAAGGGCTATACACAAGTAGAATTTTATTTGAATTGTTTTATTTTTTATTTTTTTTAGGCAGGATTTAGACATGCATCTAAACCCACTGCTCCTCTGAAGAGCGATCCATGTTGGGATTGATTTTTAGAGGTGGTGAGGAAGTGATGTGAACCTCCTCACCATCTGTTTTAACCTAATTTATTAAAAAAAAAAAATTTATTGATTGTTGTTTTATTTATATTTCAGGTACTTATATAGCGATATCAAATATAAGCAGCACTTTACATATATATATATATATATATATATATTCACATCAGTCCCTAACCCTCAAGGGGCTACACACAAGTAGAATTCTGTTTGAATTATTTTATTTTTAATTTTTTTTTAGGGAGGATTTAGACACGCCTCTAAACCCACTGCTCCTCCGAAGAGCGATCCACGTTGGGATCACTTTTTAGAGGTGGTGAGGAAGTGATGTGAACCTCCTCACCATCTGTTTTAACCTCATTTATTTAAAATAAAAATTAAATTATTTATTTGTAGGTATTTATTACAGGTACTTATATAGCGCTGTCAAATTACGCAGCACTTTCCAAACACACACAAATATATATATATATTCACATCAGTCCCTAACCCTCAAGGGCTGTACACAAGTAGAATTTTGTTTTGAATTATTTTATTTTTCATTGTTAATAGGGTGGATTTAGACAGGCATCTAAACCCACTGCTCCTCCGAAGAGCGATCCACATAGGGATCGCTTTTTAGAGGTGGTGAGGAAGTGATGTGAACTTACTTACCATCTGTTTTAACACTCACTTATTTTTAAAAAAATGTAATTATTTATTTGTAGTTATTTATTACAGGTACTTATATAGCGCTGTCAAATTACGCAGCACTTTACATATAATATATATATATATATATATAAATATATATATTCACATCAGTCCCTAACCCTCAAGGGCTATACGCATGTAGAATTTTATTTGAATTATTTTATTTTTTATTTTTTTTTTTAGGCCAGGATTTAGACATGCATCTAAACCCACTGCTCCTCTGAAGAGCGATCCACATTGGGATTGCTTTTTAGAGGTGGTGAGGAAGTGATGTGAACCTCCGTGCCATCTGTTTTAACCTCATTTATTTAAAGTAAAAATGAAATTATTTATTTGTAGTTATTTATTACAGGTACTTATATAGCGCTGTCAAATTACGCAGCACTTTCCAAACACACACAAATATATATATATATTCACATCAGTCCCCAACCCTCAAGGGTTACACAGAAGTAGAATTCTGTTTGAATTATTTTATTTTTTTTTTTTTTAGGGTGGATTTAGACATGCATCTAAACCCACTGCGTCTCTGAAAAGTGTTCCACGTTGGGATCACTTTTTAGAGGTGGTGAGGAAGAGATGTGAACCTCCTCTGTTCTAACCTCATTTATTTAAAAAAAAAAGTACATGATTTATTTTTATTATTTATTACAGATACTTATATAAGATATTCACATCAGTCCCTAACCCTCAAGGGCTATAGTAGAATTTTGTTTGAATTATTTTATTTTTAATTTTTTTTTAGGCAGGAGTTACACATGCCTCTAAACCCACTGCTCCTCCAAAGAGCAACCCACATTGGGATTGCTTTTTAGAGGTGGTGAGGAAGTGATGTGAATTTACTTACCATCTGTTTTAACCTCATTTATTTAAAAAAAAATTAAATTATTTATTTGTATTTATTTATTTCAGGTACTTATATAGCGCCATCCATTTATGCAGCACTTTACATATATATTGTACATTCACATCAGTCCCTAAACCCAGCAACCATCTATTACTATTAGCTGCATTGCGTTTATGTGAGTTGTATTGCATTAAAATGACGACATGCTGTGTTGCAACACAGTGTACTGCAACGCACATCTACACTGAGTATGAAGGAGCCTCATAGAAAACCTTGGGGGGGGGTTAAATTTTTTTATCCTTTTTGTATTTTGCATTTTGTTGTGCTTTTTTTTTTGGGCCAACTTGTTGCTGGGCAGATTCAAAATGCAAAACACATCAAAAATGCATCAAAAACACACCATGCATTTTCTGAAGCGTCTCTACTGAAGTCTATTGAACCAAAAACTCAATGTTTTGAGTTTAAAAAAGTCCCTAACCCTTTCCAAAACCACAGAGGCTCAAAAACACATAGATGTGAATGTGTCCCATAGCAAACCATGTTAAATGGACTGTATTATTTATTTCAGGTACTTATATAGCGCCATCAATTTACACAGAGATTTACATATATATTGTACATTCACATCAGTCCCTGACCCTCAAGGGGCGTACAATCTAAGGTCCCCTAACTCACATTCATACATACACATACTAGGGCCAATGTAGACAGGAGCCAA